CTACATATAAATTTTAGCAAGTTCTAGTGGGGGGACCTGGTGACCCGTGACACAGGTTCTTCGGATACCTAGTACAGGCACCAGTTCTCCACAAATCTGTATTTTTGCATAGAATTTTACATGCCTTAAAGGCTCTGCAGCACTCTATATTATGTATGATTTTGTGGAGAAAAAATAAATATATTATATTATATTATATATTATATTATTAATCTCTTCTTTTTACATAAAAATGGTTATTGATTAAAATATCTGCATTACTTGTCATTCATAATATACATGCCATTTGCTAGTGGAATATACATTATGTATGGCTCGTGTAACTTCATCTGCATCACACTTACTTGACTATTATCAATAGATTTCGTCCATTACATACATAATATATATTACACACACTTTATATATACATACTATTACATAATACATACATAATATCTTTTTAAATGATTGCCTATGTGTTATTCCGATGTAAAAGCTATACTACAGTAAGGTTTTATCAGAATCTGTTCCATACTTTTTGCGTAAAAGAGTATGAACTAAAATAGTAAGATTAGTAGTAAATAATTCTTGGATACTATCACAGATCAATAAATAGATTGATAAAAGTTATTTTTTTCCCAATTAATACAATATTTACATCATCTATGTCCCGATAGGAGGCCGGGATTAGTCTGCTGGCAAGTAGTTTGTTCTTAGTTTCTAAGCAGATTTGTTATTCATAAAGTATTTAAAAAAATAACAATATTCCACTTTTATATTTATCTATTACTGACCACTAAATTAAGAAAACTTATAATAATTATTTAGAATAATTCACACAGCCCATAGTCAAAACTAAGCAGAGCTGTACTGTGGGTACTAAATATCTGTAGAAATACTTTCTTAAATACATAGAAAACATACAGACCAATATAATCAATTATACTCATGAACACAAATGTTTATGTTGTGAGAGAATTGAGGGGTTCAATTCTACTTTCAAGTATGTTATAATAATAATATTAATATTATAGTAATATTATATTATCTGGGCCCTAACCCTATGTACGGCGGTGTAATAAACTGCTGGAAACAAATAAAGAAGCACACAAGCTACTTGATTATTTCTGTCAATCATTCCAGCGAATGGACTAGATGGCTAAGTAAAATTTTAAAAATAAGAAAACTATCTTAACACCTTTTAATTGAGTTCCCGAAATTTGACCAATATTATAACCGCCATGATCAAGGGTAAACTGAAGAGCAGCATTAATAAACGTTACAACTTCATTTATTGTTACTATTTTTACTCGCTCGATACTTATCTCGGCACATTATCATCCACTTAAGATAGTTTCCAATCAGTTTTTGTTTAATGAAATAAAACATAATAAGATTCCTTCTTTTGTTTAATATAACATATTTATCGTATTTTTTATTATTTTCAGTTGCTATTTATCGCAGCGGACTACTTTGTCCATGGTTTGTTATACACACAATTCATACTAGAAATAAGCAAGGCTATAATCAGAGATGAAAATGTTATAATTGATGTAAGTAAAAGATATATATAATTGATATATTTTAAAATGACATTAATTACCTTTAAGTCATTTTAAAATATATTTTCTAGATTGTTGGAGTTTTGGTTAGATGATTTTTATTTGTATATTAATACGTTTTTTTTTATACTACGATGGTGGCAAATAAGCATACGGCCCATCTGATGGTAAATTACCGTAGCCTATGGATGCCTGAAACACCATATTAAGGTTTTTAAGGGTCGGCAACGTACCTTTCTTTTAAAAACCCCATGCTGTAGTCACGTGAGAAAACCTCGAAAGGAAGTTCATTCCACAATCTAAGTGTACGCGGGAGGAAGTTCCTCTGAAACCGCACTGTGTGTGGGAATGAATTTCCTGTCGATGGCCAGCAGTGTGATGGTAAAAAGCGGCCGTAAGCATCATGTCGAACAATTCCTTAGAACACAGTTGTATAATCGGTAGAACACACAAAACGAATCCAAGTGTCGCCTCAAGCTAAGTGGCTCGATACCGCCAGAGAGATTGGGATCTTAGCACGTCTCTGAACCGAGTCAAAAAGACCGAGCTGGTGTACGTGACACGTATACTCAAAATATATAAAAGAAATTTATATTTTTATTATCATACTAATTAATAAACATTCTAAAAGTAATAATGATTATTTTTAAATACTATTTTTAAGATATACAATTTTTAATTTTTGTTTTATATTTTCAGGATCTCATGATATCATATTTTCTTAATGTTATTGCATACTTTGCCAAAAATATATTTTTTCAAATTTTAATTAGTTATGAATGCGAGAATTTGTATTTAGCTGTCAATGAATCTCAAACCATATCTTCCTGTTTACTGGATGTGGATCAATTTACAGGTGACCAATATTTATTTTATAGAACCGGAATGGCAAACTAGCTGATGTAACGGGGCTCCTGATATTAAGTGCCAATTATATGTACATGAACGGCTACCTCGGTGGTCTAGCAGATTACCTCCGATGGTCGCGGGTTCGATTCCTCGCACGGCACAAACATTTATATTCATGAGTATTAGGTATAAGATCTGCAGATTTTGCCAAACTGAAGAGCAAACGCCACTACACATCCTATGTAATTGCAGCCCACTCAAGCATAAACGACGATATTTCGGTTTTGTTATTTGTGCTACAGGTCCATGCACCTGACAATGTCCGAAACAACCTAATAAAAAAAAATGTTTCATACATATTTTTTTGTATCGGTCTGGGTGTTTTCTATGTATGTATTTACAAAAAAAATCTATGTATTTGTATCAGTTATCTAGTACCCATAACACAAGCATTGGCTAGGTTAACTTGGGTCTAGATGGCGTTGTGTGAATTGATACCTCAAGTACCCTTCATGTGTGTCCATTTCGGTAGACTTTAATATATATATATCTATACTAGATATACATGTCTCATCCATAGGTGAGACAGAGGTACCCATATACTTTCTACAACGTTTAGCTTGTATTTGGTTTTGGAATTGGATTGGCAAACAAACTGATGGTCCACCTGAGAGCAACACACCGGCGTCCCCCGGGCGCCCCTTCAATTGATCCCCCAATCAATTTAAACGGGGATCGAAATTACGACAGCCTGAGCCAAGGTTCGAACTCCTAGTGGTGCCCTTTGACTAAAGTCGTATCCGTCAGGTAGGAGCTGGCCTTCAGCCTCTCCATAAGTCCTTCCGCGGGTTTGGAGTGCCATCTGTACTTGCTCCCTAACGTCCGGTGAAGCCGTAAAAGCCAGCTGCGGCCAACAGCATTAGAGTAGTCCGAAAAAAGCACGTCACGTGACGCTTTTTTATTTTTTTATGGATGATAATGGAATGGTGCATCCGCCTGCGCTAACGGTTTACGCTGGTGGGGCACCAGTGGAGGATGATAAGGTAAGCATAAGGTCAGGTCAGTTAGTCCATCGTGACAAATTCACCAAGAATTTATCACAATGGTTTCCAGGGGGAACCGCGTGGAGGTCAACCTGACTTCGTGCATTGCTAGCGATAAGATCATTAGTCCAGATTACTAACAATCCCCTCCCCCCCCCCCCCTCCCGTGACGCTATTCACACCACTTATTTGCACCTTACCATTCCAATGGAGTAAGATGTAATATCATCTTTCTTAAAAAGAAAAAGGCGACTAATAAAGGTGAAACAGAGGTAACCAAGACACTTACAATGACAATGACAATGTCGCTCTCTCTTAATAGCCAGGAAATCACACAATTTTCATTAAATAATTTGATTTCTTTTACAGAGAATAAAAAGAAGATATGTAAATATATTTATCGTCTGAACGATTTGAATATGCTAAAACTGAGTGCATGTAATGTATTTGTTGTTGATGCTAAATTTCCACTGCGTACATTTAGCTTATTTTCTGCTTATTTCGTAGTTCTACTTCAATTTGCTTTATAAAATAAAGGCAAATTATTGAAGATAACATGTGTTTTTATTTTTATAATGTAGATTTATTATATTTATTTAAAAGAGCAACAGACAAGTTTCATTCTCTTTTTTTCTTGTGCTGAATCTGATTTTCGAATGAGTGGTAAAATGAAACAAATGACTATTCAAAAGTACTTAGGTATATAGAGGTTAAGTGAATTAACACTATTTCTAAAAAAAACTATTAAATATTTTTCGAAAACAAGGATCAAAATAATTCAATTGGGGAAACAAACTTCAGCTAGGTTTGACCAAAGTCTGCGTGGGTGACTCTGTGACTTACCTAGTTCAGCCGCACAAGCAGCTTGCTGGAGGGTCAAAAAATCAGACATGATATCTTAATAACAAGAACGGTATTCCTGGATTATTTACACAACTGCTGTTTAGTTCTAAGCTAAGCAGAGCTCATGTTATGGCTACTAGATAACTGATAGAAATACTTAGATTTTTTAAATACTTACATAACACCGACCCTGCAACCATACAACAATGAACTGGTGAGCTATACCGCTAGTCCAGCGAGGATATAGAATGAGATGAGAGGTCCAGAATACAATTTTTAAATAAGATAATTACAAATTCTAATTACTATTTTCTTTTTTTTTCAGGAGCTTATGATATTTTACTTTGTTAATATTACTGGATAAATTGTCAAAAATGTATTCTTTCAATTTTTACTTAATACGAATGTGAGATTAGTATTTATATAAAAATCGTTATAAAATTTACCTGATATATGAATTATATTATATACTAGCAGACCCGGCCAAGCGTTGCTGTGACTAAGGTTCTTGAATAAAATAATATTGCGACTATATATTGAGATGTAAGCTATCCTATCTTTCAAGTTGGATCAAATTGCACACGATGTCCAAATCAAATTCCCAATCGGTTCAGTAGTTTAGGAGTCCATCGCGGACAAGCAACGTGATACGCAATTTTTATATATAAAGATAGCCCCTTATCATCTATTAGAAAAAAGGAGTGATCATTTTTCTGTCATATTAAGTTTCTATATTGAGTAAAGCGAATTGTAATAACACAATCGTGTAGGTGGCTAAAAGACTAAGTAGACGTAACGGCAAAGTTGCATCAATATCGTACAATCCGCACGCGTTCATCTTATTGCACGATGCACGGCTCAAACGATGTATGTTCTTGTAAATTCTTCTCTCCTCTTCTGGAAAATAGGTATAATGAAATAGATAGGTTTTATATTTCAGTCAGACAAATTCTTACAGTTTCGGTCACATCATTTTTCAATTAAATTGGCAAATATTAAATTATCATAGTAAAATACATTATACATATTTTAACTTCTAATTTTTTCTTAATACAAATTTTCAGCATAATGATATATAATATAATAATATATGCTTTAGATTAATATAAATTAGTGGAAATACAAGACAAAACGGTCTTGTACAAAAAGTACTATATACTATAGTAATGTACACATTTTTACTATTTTTTAGACTCCTTAATAATAAAAATTATTATTAGTAGGTAACTCTGTGTATTACACTTTATCGCCAAAACTACTGAACCAATTTAAATCTAAGAATATTGTAGAAAAAATGTAATATATATAAAATGTAATATGTATTGTATAATAAAATATTCATTTCTTATTTGATAGTTAGACATTTTGTGTTTGGTAGAAACAATTATATATAATTTTGTTTCATATAATACTTATATGTCTGTATAAAAAACTACTCAAAAACTAGCTTTGCTGTACAAGTCTACACAGATGAGGAACAAATAAATAAAGTACTTTGTACGTTTTTTTTATATTACAATGGTGATATTAATAGAATACAGAAATTTAAAGAAATAGTGTAAAAACATACGTAATACCACAGATAATATATGGTAATACTTACCCGATAAGGTATTTTGTTGCATAACAGATGCAGATACCGCTACTACACTTTTAAATGCTAAAGTTAATTTTTCACTTTCAACAGATACGTGTACTTGTAATAAATAATTCTTGAATGCCCATGACGTTATACTTAATATTAACAATATTGTAGCTCCCTGAAACTTGAATAAATATATATATTTATATATCTGGAATGACAAAAATGCTACTAGCCTGCCTGATGGTAAGAGGTAACCGTTGCCTATATACCTACATATAATACAAGAATTGTACTACGAACATCACGTTATCATGTGTTGTAGTTGCTATTCAAAAGAAATGTGATGTCTCTGTAATTTCACTGGCTACTCTGCGCTCTACAACCGAACCACAGCTAATAATGCAATGCAATGCAATGTATCCTTGCCGATGTTCTCTTATATGTAGTCATCTTTAAAGTAGGTGATTAATATTCGAATGGTACATGGTAGAGTAAGTAAAAACCAGGGACGTTATGGATATGAAATTTCGGGTACGGATGAGTTTCCGATATAGGAATGATTATTATACTAGATACGGATACGGATATGAAATTATTTCGGATTATCCGTTAATTTGGAATAATTTCGGTTACGGATAATATTTTTTAAAAGAATTAAAAAAATATATATATAACACGTTATATAGTCTCAATTAGGATCCGCCCCTATCCGATATTGTCCCAAACTTTTATTTCGGATTCGGTTACGGTTACGGATCTCCTTAACATCCCTAGTAAAAACTAACGAAACATAGTACTAGAATTTATTTTCAATTCAAGTACTATACCCTGCACTATATATACTTTAAAAACATCTTACTGAATTATCCTGTTTATGAAATTTGATCAATACTATTAAGAATTCCACATATATAAGATTGTGTATGAAGGTCTCTGTGGTATGGAAAAGAATCTGCAAAGAAAAAGTTATAATTTATTAGATTTCTACTGCATAGTAATAAATATTGTTAATTATATTTGACATAATAATCCACAAAAAATAATAAAAAAAAAATACATTACCATAACTTGAAATATCTTTTTACTCAAATGAAATGCCTCTAATAGATTATCAAATACGTAATACATTGTGTTTGTATATATTTCTCTCTTTGATTCAAAACAACAGTCGTCATAATCGCATGAATATAATCCCGAGTATGACTGTACCTCACAAATCCATATAGTCATTTCATGATTGATCAAAGCAATGATTCTACTATAATAGATAATGTTCATGTCGAAACATATTAATGCCAATAAAGCGAGTGAGTTTATGACCGTTTTTGGTTCAGTAGCCATAATAATTGGATGCATAATAATTGCAAAGTAATATACAAATATCGCTACAACAATGAACCAGTTGCGTTTCGTTATACTTTGAAAATTAACGTCTGTGTCTTTTTTAATTCTATAAACATCATGCAATTTTAGAACTAATTGAACATTTGATGCACTAGTACGTATATCACAGGTCGTATTTAATAAGAATCCAAAAGTATACATCCACAAGTCAGCTAAATAGCTGTAATAAAATATTTCGTAAGTTGCACCATCGTCACTGTTTATTAAACGAATAGAATAAACAATAATTATAATAATACACACAATAATAGAGACATAATTGTTTAAAGAACCATTGGGGGTAATGAAATTATCTCTTATTCTGTATCTTGATGTTAATAAAATATATTGATATAAATTTAAAGGACGCAGCATCGCTTGAAATTCGCCTCCTAAATAATTCTTTAATACAGTCTCTGTGTATTTCTTGTTATACTTTTTAGGCATTTTACTAATTATTTACAACCAGTCGTATTTTTAACGCGTATCCAATAAGTAAAAAGAATGATACAATACGAGCTTCTTTTAGAACTAGTCATACACTTTGGTGATTGTTTGATTTCGTTAGTACATCGAAATGGTTTCGGTATATTAACTAATCCATCATATATAATTAATTCATTTTTTTAAATAGGACATTAAAAATATTTTTTATTGATCACTAGCTTTTGTCTGTGACTTTGGGTGTTGTTAAATTAATATTTTCGTTTTATGTATCCTATCCTAGAATCGAAATGCAAACAAGCTAATTGTAAGCAATACTTGTCGCCTATTTACCTTCATAGACAACATTTCGGACATCACGGTATCATTACTGTGACACCTCATAAAATGGAATAGAATAGAAAATAATTTATTCAAATAAACTTACATGAAACCCTATTGAATATTCTTCACGTTTTTTTAATCTACCGCTCATTCGGAATGTTGTCTCATCGCAAGAAGAACGATCAAGAAACTTGCGTGTTGCTCTTTTAAATAATTTTATTGTTACTTTACATTTTTAAGTTGAAATGAATACAAACTACCAACTAGCAGTAGTTTAATAGCTCTTCGGAATAGCAACGTATGAGTTTAACGTTGCTATTTCGAAGAACTAAGATATCATGCCCCTTATTCTGTAATTTCACTACCTTGTTACCCTTTAACTAAACATATCTTACAAGGCAAGTTGCTTCTAGGTTATAATCTAAAAAAATAAAGTAAAACTACATACATTACATCAATATTTATCAATTTTATTTTATAAAACAAATTGTAATATCACTATTAAATATGTTGATAGTAAACTCAGTACTCTCAGCACGTATTTAGCATCGACGGTGAATACATTAAATGCACTCAGCTTAATGTCCACCGATATATTTGTATGAATGACATATTTGTATAGTCTTTTGAATTCTGTAAAGTAGAAATATGAAATCTTATATATAAAATTCTCGTGTCACAGTTTTCGTTCCCATACACCTCCAAAACGGCTTGACCGATTCTCATGCAATTTTGTGAGCGTATTGAGTAGGTCTGAGAATCGGCCAACATCTATTTTTCATCCCTCTAAATGTTAGGGGTAGTCCACCCCTAAATTTTTTTTTATTTTAAAGCAAAACAACGTTTGCCGGGAGCTAGTATTAAAATAAATTTAATTCATCTTGGTCTTAAAAGCAGTTTCTTGGCAAACATCTCTAGCAAATAACAAAGGCTAACTTATAAAAGGATGTGTTTATAGGCCGCAAGAATGGCCTAACAAATTCATAAAATATTTATTAACTAGCTACTCGGCCCGGCTTCGCAAGTGTGTACTTTTATTATATATATATATATATATATATATATATATATATAAACCTTCCTCTTGAATTACTCTATCTATTAAAAAAAAACCGCCTCAAACCCGTTGCGTAATTTTAATGATTTTGGCATACATAGGGACAGACAGCGCCAACGACTTTGTTTTAAACTATGTAATGATTACCTGAACATTTATTGTGATTTATAACCAATACACAGCTTACTTCAGCATCTTTGAGCGCCATATAAAATTTTTCACATTGATAGCTTAGCAAGCCATGCAAAACTGTATTTTTCAGAATCCAAAACAAAAAACTTATCGCTGTAAATAGTATTAAAGCCTGAAAAATAATTTTTATGACGTTTTTTAGTCATTGAATAAATCCTATGCTTAATTTTTTCGTCGACATTCCTGTTCAACAACGACGACCTGGTTCAAAAGACTTGAATGACATCTTAGACCTCTGAATTGGCAACTGAGATGGCATCACAAGATGACGTGATGTCTTTGGTATTATTGTTCACGTATATATATTCTATGTATAATATGTATTTACGAAAAAAAATATCTATATATTTGTATCAGTTATCTAACGGACTCTAATATAATAATCTGTGCTTACGATGATACAGGGTAGATTTTGAACAACGTATATATACTATGTATAATATATAGTATTTAACTAGCTTAACACAAGTTTTAGCTTGGGTCTAGATGGCGCTGTGTGAATTGTTTTAAGATTACCATTATTATTAATGCGTACAATATTGCCTTAACAATCTTCTGCCCTCAGAATATAATTTTGCTCGCCAATAGTACAAACTTTATTACATGCAATAAAGAATAATTAAAATAATAATGTGTTCGGTTTATAGGTGAATAAATACTTTTCATTTCTAAGTTTAACATTATGGTATTTAAAAAATGCTTAAAAACTATTATTATTATTATATAGGTGACGGTTATCATTTATCATCCGAAGGGCCGTCGGCCTGTTTGCCATTCCAATTACACAACAAAAATCAAGCGTACAAAACTTACGTTTTTCATGTTTTGATTATTAAAACCATGTATGTTAATTATAAGTTGGGCGTATATTAGTCCATGGATAAAAAATTCTATTCCATGATATAACATCTGTAAATTTTAAATTACATTATTGCTGTGAAATTTCTATTTTCATACCAATATTAACAATTAGCTTTCTTCATCTGCTTTCAAAGGGAATTGTTTTTCCCGTTTCGATATTTTTCATTTATACTCATTTCACGATGTGCGTAGAAATAAGTTACAGCCTTCCTCATTAAATTAATTTTTTTAAGTCCAAGTCGTAGTTCCTAAGTTTAGCGCATACAAACTCAATTAAATAAGGCGTGAAGAAAAAGAGACACGAGATCACGAGAATGTACATTTTTTTTATCTCAAAAAAGATAGACAAAGTCGCGATATACAGTTGTCATTATATAGTTTTTAATTCCAAAACTAACTTACTTGTAGTTGAAATACTTTACTCTGCAAATGAAATGCTTTTAATATGTCCTTGTACATATGTAACATTGTATTCAAATAATATTTATCGTTCAAATTTCTAAAACAAACTACATCAGAAACCCATATATTTAACTCCTTCCTTATTAATTTTATAATGCACATAGTGTAAATCATATTAGAATCGAGGCTTGCCAAAATAAACATACATGAAAAATTTAACCACTGAACTTCTTTAATTATAAAATATATATATAAAAGGTTTAAAAAATATATTGAAATTAACAAAAATACAGATATCCAATTCCATTTCGTTGCATTTTTAAGTTTATTATGTTTTTCAATTTGCAATGTGTACACTGAATGAATCGTTAATAATAATTCTACATTATCTTTCGAGTAATATATGTTAATAAAACAGTTTATTATAAAACATGTCCAATTATAAATTAAACTTACGTAGATAATTATTGAAGTTTGAGACAAATTAGATAAATTTATTGCATTCATTAAGTATAAAACCAAATATAAAATTAGGCCGAAATATAAAATAATATTGTACAATAATCCATTTGGCGTTATAAAATTGTCACGAATACAAAATTTTGGACTGAAAAACATAGCTTGCATGAAATTTAAAGGTGCCAACATCCTTTGAAAGTCTTCGTGTAAAATATTATTTAGCAGAACTTCGTTAGATTTATTTTTGGTTGGCATTATGTACATTATTTAATTAATCGATTTGTAATTTACAATTTTATAAAACATATGTATTATATATTAGATACTGTAATATTGTAAACAAGCCTTATGTGTACAATAAATATTTTTACAAAAAATAACAAAATTATACTCGCTGTACTTTATTCACAGAAAAAAATATTATTAAAGTTTTTGTTTTATTCTTCGTAAGGTTGTAAATGCTAATCTCAGAAACGGATTAACCAATTTCACTGATGTAGGTATAAAAATAGTGTTCAAAATTAAATTATTTAATAATCACAATTTCGAAATTTTCCTCAACAGTTCAATCAAACTGGATTAATTTTGTTGGAAATACATTTATTCGATTATGACGATTACTATTAGCTTTTTACATTACGATACTGTGAGATGACAATACACTTAAATATACAACTTCTAGTTCGTACATTAGGCTACAGAATGTGTACGACTTTGTTTTAATAATATCTGTTGATAATTCACACGTATAACATGTTTGTTTTTAATACATACATGTTATACGTAACACCCAGACCACTACAAACAATCATACATATCTACTTACAATTAGGAAAAATCACGGACTTTTACCACGACTTATTTATTTTTTCTTAAGTTTCCGATTTTTTTCGAAAGGAAATAAAACGCGATCTTTCCTACTTACACCGAAATAATGACCTCATCAAATTTAAAATAGTATATACCTAAACTTACTCATATTTGTATCGAGCGAGGAATCAAACCCCATCGGAAACCGCTAGATCATCGAGGCTGTTTTTCATAGCTTACAGTAATATATGTTTAGACTGTTATCATAGATCATAGAGCCACAGTCATATGTGTTGTCCATTGTCAACATCATGGTGAACGCAGCACTTAATATGGCAACACTTCGCGGGGTATATAGGTATAATGTGACCATTTATTCTTTGACTCAATACGGGACATTGGTTATTTCTGTCAATTAATAGACAGTTAATGAAAAACAATTGCTTAAAGCTTTATTCAAAAAAAGCTTAATAGTTGAGTATTATCGGATAAACAAATTTGCTTTAGTATAGCTAGTGGAGCTTTAGATATTTGTGTTACTGTGTGTTTTCTATGTATATTATGTATGTATTCACAAAAGTAACGATATATATAGTATATACATATATATAACAATTTCTACTATTTCTATCAGTTGTGTAGTAACCAAGTTTTGCTTAGCTTGGGATGTGTGAATTATCTATAGATATAATTATTAATATGTCATGTCTTTTATATTTTAATAAAAATATAACTTTAAGATGCATTACACTAAATTTCTTATCAGTATCTTAATATAAGAAGGCCCTTACACTTATCTAAATATAATGTAATACTTAGTAGGTAGCAGACTGTATACAAAACATGTCATATGTCAGGAAAGGCAATCAAATAGATTAACACTTTAATGCTGGCATTAGAGAAATATATTCATTATAAGTGAAGCGAAAACTATGTATCCATTTTTACATCATATTGTTAAAATAATATGATTAAAAAGACTTTATAATATCACTTTTTTATATTTGTTTATAATGGAATGAACTCGTGAAATATGTCATTGACTCTAAATAGTTTTTCGCTTAGAATGATTACGAACGAGTAACCTACGAGTTTAGCGTTACAGAATTCATCATAGAATGCAATAATTTTTAACCTATTCAATATTATTTATTTGTCTCCAATAAACTTAAAATTATTTTTCTAGATAATTCTTTAAACTTAAAACTAAATACATTATGATACATCCCTGTATAATAAATCAAATTGTAGCATTACAATCGTATAAGTAGCAAGGAGACCGAGAAGTCGTAACGGCAAAGTTGCATCGATATCGTACAATCCGAACGCGTTCATCTTACTGCATGATGCGCGGCTCAAACGATATATGTTCTTGTAAATTCTTCGCTCCTCTTCTGAAACATGAAATTACAGCGTAAGAGGTATGAAATCTTAAGCCTGAGGTAGGTAGGTACACTCGGTCTTAACTATTTTAGATCTAAGCTACTTGGTATGTAAATTTCGTTTGTAGGGTGAGAAAATGCAGTGAAATATATAGCGATGTCACCTCATCTTAGACGTCCGGAATGGCAACGCGACATTATGGGTGTCACAAGAGTTCAATTACAACTGGTGGGAAATTGGGGAAAATATAGAAAATAAGGTTTCACCACCATGTGGTAGGACGAGGTCGCTGGTTCAGAAATAGGATGTTAAGTCGCTGACTGATTAATAACATCCAAGGCTTTTTACCTGTAATATATTGGGCTCGTACTCCTGGACGACCTATAAACGGCTGTCGCGCAGATCATAATGATGTAAAGCACAAACACCAAAATATTGTCCAAATTCGAGATTAACGTAATAGCAGCGTGCACGGCGGATGATTGCACAAATCAGACAGGTCTTATTTTTTCGATGTGAATAGATGCACAACATTGATGATATAGATGCGCTCGCAGTGACGCAACAGAGGCGCCACTTTACAGGTACCTACATACTTACCCGGTAAATTACAAATATACAAACCTTGGCTGCAAATATAAATACTACTATATATATAATGGACATTAAAAATGTTATAAATGGCGTAACTAACGGGTATGTAGGTGACGGTATCATGTTACCACTTACCATCAAGTGAACCGTCAACTTATTTGCAATTAGAATTATGTACTTTTTTTTTACAGAGTAACATATTATTTATTTCAGCTACGCCAGTAGATAGTGTATACCGTAAGCACCAATTCTTTATTTATATACCGTCCGTTATGCATTATGCATTTTTACTGCCTTACGTCGTCATCTCAGAATCATCAGAAGAATCATCAGAGAATGGCATCCGGCATAAATTTTGTGTGCTAAAATATTAATGTTAGCATAAGCGGGAGAATATTCCGTAATCATGTGTTTATATATATAAAATATCATATCTATACTCTATATATGTATGTATATATATATATATATAATATATACATTACCTGTTATACTAGATGATTGCATTAAAGATGCGCAGATTGATAAAACATTGTTGAATGCCAAATTACTTTTCTCGTATTCTATAGACAATATTATTTGAAGCAGATAATTTTTTAGAATCCATATTGATACGTTTAATATGTGATATATTGTTTGTGACTGAAATTACAATAATAACAATGTAAATTAACACTTTCTGTAATCTTACTGTGTTAACTGAAAAAACAGTTAGTCAGCCAACGTAAACCGTTAGCGTAGACGGGTGAACCATACCATTATCATCCATAAAACAAAAAAAACTCAGGTACCCAATCAAACGCATTTTTTATACTTCACAGTGATGGCAAATATCTAAGCATACGGCTCATGGTAAGCCTGTTCGAGATTGTTTTTAAGTAAATATACTATGTCAATTTTCCTGGTACAATATACATATTATTATACTAGCTGATCATGACTGTCCACTTATCATTAGATATCGCCTAATATATGCACATAATATCTTTTTATATTTTAGTCTATGTGTTATTTTGATGTATAAGTTATGTTACTGTAGTTTCATCAAAATCCACTAGGTACTTTTTGTGTGAAAGAGTAACAAACATCTATCCATATTAACAAACTTTCGCATGTATGATGTGTGTTCACATCAAATCAAGATCTATTATTTTAGTGTTAGACGTGACTTGAAAGATCTAATAACCAGTCAAAGAATCTTTCCCATTTGTAATTCCTTATAACTAACATTTCTAGGTACTTACAAGTTCATAATGATTGCATAAAACTATTAACAATTGCACATACAACAGACTATGTAAAAACGTTTCCGTTGTATGAAATAAAATCTGAAAATAGAAAATGATACAATTACAAGTTGCAGCTAACAACTTTACTCACGCTGATAAAAATAGTATGATAAAAAAGATAAAACATATAAAAACCCCATATGTACTTATGTACGCTTTAGGAAACGGTGAGACTGAGTACCTAAAACATTTTTTTTTGTGTCTCTTACCAGAAGCAGGCAGACGAAACGAAACAAAAGTATAGCTATATAGATGTTAAATATAATTTTATATGGCAACAGTTATTTCACTAGGTCAATTTAGTTTTCTTATAATGGCCACACTTAAAACTGCATAACAGAGAGGGCGCTATATAAGTCTCTCTCTCTCTGCTGCGCCGCCGTAGAAATATGTTCTTATATTGTCGTGTTATAATAAAAAATTAAATAACGTATTATTTACAACCCAGACTGTTATATTCTTTTATAAAACCCTTCAATAGACTACAAGTCCATAGAAAAAATTAACCAGTGAAGAAATAACAGTATAGTGCTCAGAGTTACTTTCTGATACAATAACAGCCTTCTAAGCGTTATTTACGTTGGTTCATTGCACACGTTAATTTTTTCCATGGGCTTGTAGTCTAATAGACATATATAATGCAATTACGATTAGTATTGCTTTAAATTACTATTAAAAGATAAATAGTATTTAATAGACGTGTCTACATCGGAAGAAAGATTTGTTTATAATATCTGCGTCGATAACTCTATCTGAACTAGTTTTACCAAGTAGTTTTATAAGTTATGTTTCGATTTAAAAGGCAAGATAGCAGCGAAATTACAGTGTAATTGCATGATATCTTGGTCCTCAGAAGCGACAACGCATAAGGGATACCTGTGGTGTTATATATTGACATGACTGCAGTGCTGTTCGTGTATATAGGCGCTGGTTGCCACTTGCCGTTCGGTCTGTATTGCCCGCTTATTTGCCATTCTAACTATTATAGAACGGCAAATAATCCGATATTTTTTATTACATCTAGTTAGATGTAATAAAAAATATCGAATTATTATTATAATTATTATTGCGTTGCAAAATAAAAGTTATAAGAACATTACGAAATAATAGTAGTGATTTTAAAAAATCCTAAAAAATAATTTTACCATAATTTGAAACGAACTTTTGCACAACTTGAATGCCTCCAATAAACTGACATAAATACTGAATAACTTTTTGGTATACTTTTGTCCAGATCTTGTAAAATCATTTAATTCATTATCCATTATATATATTCCATGACGAGATTCAGGACGACGATGCAGTTCAGTAGTCCATAATGCTACTTCGTAATTGACGGTAGCTACTAATCTACTGGCATAAATTACATTCATATCGAAACAAATTATAAAAATTAAAGATATATAATGTACAATTATTTTTATCAGCGTATCGTAAAAAACTACTGGATATCCAATATTTAAAAAGTAATATATAATTATTACGGTTACAAAGAACCAATTAAATTTTATGATACATTTGAATTTATCATTATTTTTTTTCATTTTGTAAATATTATGCAGTATTAAAATCAACTGAACATTAGATTTACCGGTGCTAATATCAGATATAGTGTTCAAACTAAAACCAAAACTATATATAAATAGATCAAGAATGTAACAGAAGTAAAAGAATGCAACGTTCTCATTAAGAAGACACAGTTTAAGACGATAGAAGTAAAAAAGAAAAACAATAACGTTCATGAGAATAGAAAAATACTTATGCAAAGATCCGTTTGGTGTAATAAAATTATCTCTAATTCTGTATTTTGAGGTTAACAAAATGTATTGCAGTAAATTTAGAGGTTTGAGCATTGCTTGAAACTCTTCATTCAAATAGTTTTCCAATAAAGTCTCTGAGGTTTCAATATGATATATTGTAGGCATATTTATTTTGTACTTGGTTGCTAGAAAACGTACAGTTAAAAGTGAAATTAATTTGTTACTGAAACGGTAATTAAATGAAGCTATTACTTACCACTAACAGTCAATTCAATTAATGTGTTTATCAATAATTTGACATTTATGGATTTCATATATGAGTATAGATATAAATAAGTATAGGACGATTCTCTAACGTTGATGTGAAATTTATAACTATTTTTCTTTGGATAGTTTGGGTTAGTTTATTAAATATGTTATTAATAACACAGATAACATATTACATACTAATACTTACTAATATTATAAATGTGAAAATACCTCTATATATCTGTCTGTTTAAAAGTTATGTACCTAGTACCCATAGCACAAGCTTTAGCTAGATTAACTTGGATCTATATGGCGCTGTGTGAATTGTCCTGAGATTATTATTATTATATAGGGCGTACAAATCAAAACACTTGAATAAAAAATAAAACATTCTTGCCAATTTTTGGATCTTTTGCAGATAATTTCCATATCGACAGCTTCTCCAAGATCTTTCAGTCTATCATTGTTGTTTCATTTTCAGTATAGGAGAATTACACCATATGATGTCCGTGACATCACTCATCCTATATATTGTCCTACATGTCTAGTATATTGTATTTCCACAACGTGGTCTAATCTTTCAGCCATAGGTAAGACTGCGGTAACTACGCAGACTCAAGCAGATTTTAAATTTGAAAATCAATAAATTTTGAAGTCTATCGACTACAGAACATTAAAATGTTATGTACTCTATATTTAGTTTATATATACTCTTTATACTAATTAACGTAATTGAATTCTACGTGGCACGGGAGCGAGCTTACGGATGTCGTCTCTAAGATTAATTTTTCGGTTTTATACCGTTATTACTTTGACTGGGGAGAGAGAATTTGAATTCACCTCCATTAGACGACAACACCTAATAAGATATATATTTCAATTTATCATGAATTAATGCAAAAATCGGAATAAATACCACAAATTAACCCCGATAGGCTGTACTATACCCGGGTGTACCATTCCGAATAAGATATATATTTCCTGAATTAATAAAAGAATTAAGTGATAGAGATAGGTAGTGTTTAAATAAAAAGTATGCTATAAAAATAATACAATTTTATTTAACCATTATCTATTCCTCAGTAAGTCCTTTCTCTGCTTGATATTTGTAGTGGAGCTCGCTGCAGTCTTCGTTGGAGATGTTGACCCAGCCTTTGTCGCTGATGTGGTAGACGCGGATGATCCCACCGGAGTATGCGTCGCGGTGGGTCGCGTGGTAGATGGCCCGGCGACCGAGCTCTACAATCAAATCATATGATCACTGTAAAAAGTCGTCTACCCATGCAGTACACCAAATTCAAATATAAAGACCACTTATTCATGTTGGACATTTTAGCCGCTTATAACTTTTTACCTACAGTATACAAATTCAATCGAGAATGGGCAAGAACTGTCAAGAAACTCAATTGAATTTCTTTTTTTACAAAAAGCCAATTTATTTACTATTATTATTTCTCTAGATGTAACATTAAATAAAAATAAACAACTATTGACATCATCATCATCATCGCAGCCGGAAGACGTCCACTGCTGGACATAGGCCTCCCCCAAAGATCTCCACGACGAAAGGTCCTGCGCTGCTCGCAACCAATACCTTCCAGCGATCTTGACCAGATCGTCGGTCCACCTTGCTGGAGGCCTTCCCAGAGTGAAGAGATCCACAGCAGAACCAGAGTGACCGACATAGCCCGAAGAATTGCGACTCTGAAGTGGCAATGGGCAGGGTACATAGCTCGTAGGACAGATGGCCGATGGGGTCGTAAAGTCCTCGAGTGGCAACCACGGCCCGGAAGACGCAGCGTAGGAAGGCCTCCAACTATTGACATGCACGCTCGTAATTCAAGTAATCGTTTAGTGAGTCAAACTGATCTATTTCAATCGGCAAGGTTATCTGTTTTTCGGTTGAAAGGTAAGAAGAGACAAAGGAGAGAAAGTACAGGATAAGAGGCATAAAATCTCAGTCCTTCGGAATGATTCATGATCGGTATAACAGAAACTTCCATTCAAACATTCATCCCCTATTTCATTAAAGCGGTAACCCTTTAAAATTTTTAGATACTTTCAATGTCATATTTAATGATGATACTTCCATACAACCTTTCATCTACCCTTTTGCAAAATGTACCAAATTTCATGTGATTTACATGAAATTTGGTTCAGTAGTTTTGGCGTGAAAGTGAGACAGATTCACTTTGGCATTTATAATATTAGTAAGATTATTTATACAGAATTCACAAACTAATGACAATGGGATAAAGCCGAGGCAGATCACTAGTTAACAGTTTAAATAATGTAAATTAAATATTGTAATGGGTGAAAACGTGATTGTTAAAGGCTATGCTGTAAATACTATAAATGACATAGTGGAGTAACTTGAAACAAACAGCCATGCTCGCTAGAAAGTTCACGTTCAATGACATGGTATAAATACCAGCGATGCTGTCAGTGACGCGATCCATTCATACCGATGCCACTCTGAAAGGTCTCTGTCCACTAGTGAGCATTACTAGATCTTAGACGTAAAGGTGAAAGATGTGTTTGTGAGGAAAGCTATCAGCACTGCAGATAAGGGGCAAACTTATGGCGGCGTGGTGGGCCGAGTCAATGTGCTCCTAATATATAGTTGAGTGCAATGATGGCTGGCTCATCCGTTATACTCGTCAACGGGTTCTGTTTGTGGGGACTGGTCTGTTCGGGTTACGAAATCTGATTGTTTGCTTAATATTTGATTATGAAATAGCATAGGCTGATGGTTCCTTTTCTCCCAAATTTGAATTTTAAAAAGAATCTATATTATTGTAGATAATGAACTTAATAGAAAAAACTTTAAAATAATACGAGCTGAGTTTCTTATCAGTTCTTCACATTTTTCGAAAGCATTCCAAACTGACGTAGATTTAACATATCATAAGAGTCTGTAATAGACCTACATGAATAAATATATTTTTGAATTTGAATTTTCGAGGACATCTAAAATCAACAATTACCTTGAGCTTCAAGATCTGATAAATCCCATTTGTAACCAGAGTCCAGTACACCAAAGGCATACACGGACCCTGAGCCCACTGAGAATACTTTGCCTGGAGTGCGAGTTCCTTCACTGTCCACATAATATAACTGTGCACCCTGGAAAATTAATAAACAATATGCATTTACAATATATAAGTTTTTATACATATAATTAATATACCATGGTATGTTACCATGTTTTATTTAAATTTTAAATTTTGACTAAATTATTAATAACATCAATAAATAAAATGGTTTTTATTTAAGAAATAAGAAATACAAAAAACAAATGTTTGTAATTATAAAAAAATGTCAGACTTTTCAAAAGACGTGTAAAAAACTTCTTTTTTAGACTGTTGATTAAATATAAATAAATATAACATTCTAAACTTGTAAAAAAAGCCGTAAAATAAAAAAGGGGAAGAAATTTTGTATGGAAAATCGTCATTTTTTAAGCTAGTAGAATGAATCACACATACCCTCTTATCAAAGCCAGCCAACATCATGCCCATACTGAGACCCATGCCCTTGTAGTTGTACACCATGTTGGCCATCAGCTTGCTGGCAGCGGCCACAGAGATGCGTTCCCTGTTCCTCAACTCGTACAGACGGCACTGCTTTGCGAGTACACGGTCCCAGTACACACAGTCCGCGGCACCACCAGCCAGTGTACCTAATAAATGAAATAAATTATATTAATATAAAGTTTGTGAGTATGGATGTATGTTTGTTATCTTTCACCCACAAAACTACTTAAGGGATTTTGATGAATCTTTACAGTAATATAGTTATGCATCAGAATAACATATTGGCTATAAATTGAAGGGGGTTGAAACAGCTGCATGCTGTTTCAACCCAGCTAGTAAATAATAATATAACCTTGAATAATTCACAGAGCGCAATCTAGTTCCAAGCTAAACAGGTCTTGTCTTATGGGTATTAGAAATATGACTTTGTGAGCATGGAATTTAACCATTTTTTAATTAAAATAAATAAACTTTCTAAATGATGAGTAACAAAAGTTACTCTTTATCACATTAGCTATCTACAAGAGTTTCAGATATTACCAATTATAAACAATCATTTTGTTTTTTATTAATTTTTGATGTATCATATCTACTGCTATACTTTCATTTTCATTTACATTTAGTGAAGCTGTTAATTTGATATTATAAACAGAGACTTAAAATTTAATAAAAAATATTTTAGTTTTACATTACCAAGTAGATAGTCATTGATTTCTACAATTTTCTTCATGGATTGTGACCCAATGAACTGGCCCCCAGTGGCACGGGAGTCCACCGCTAACAATACTCCACCCTATAAACATTTGTAAAAATTTTGTAAAAACATTAAAATAATCATAGGATCACTGCCATTCTGAATGACTGCAATTGTCTGCCTATGTTATAGTTATAGTTTGATACTGGAATTTTAAGTTTGCTATAAAGTTAACTTGTTACAACAAATTCACCAGGAAATAACAACAATGGTTATCATCACGGGGGGCCACATGGAGGTTGACCCGACATGGTGCATTGTTAGTACATGGGTCACTATTTCGTAATAGTAACAATCACTTTCCTTGATTGGGTAATGTTTACTACGGCAGCTAGAGTCAGTTTTCAATCTCAAAGATTAAATAGATGTAAAATTTTCAAATAATGTTACCAGGTACAGTGCTATTTTTTTGTTTCAGACAATTAGTTTTAAAGCTTTAACCAGTATAAATTGATAATTAATATTAATTTCTGATTGTCTCAACACTACTTAAGAATTGCAAAAGTTAATTCAATATAGGTAATGTCAAATTTGTCATAGAGGTAAATAAAACCAGACTATAGTTAAATAGTGGATAATAAATAACAATTTATACTCACTTTATAGCGGAATCCAAGTGTAGTGGTTCCATGATCAAATTCAATTTTTATATCACGACCAGTCTCGTCTTTTGTGTTAAATTTCGCTAGGGTTTCTACAGGCTGCAATTAAAACATAATTATTAAAGGAACGTAGAACGTAACGGAACGTAGAACGTTTTAAAGAATTTTTAAATCAAATTAAAAAACCTAATAATCTTGCATGCGTCGATGTGCCGCGTTGGATAAGACTAATTGTTTTTTTTAAATGAAATGTAAATATGTGTGATAATCTTTAATAAATTTAGTACAAATTGATTAAACTATTAGAATAATCTGAACTTACGTTAGCAAACGGCGGTACAGCGAGTTGGGCGCTGTTGATGAAATTTTGGCTGAATCCCATTACATCGTTTTGGAATGATGCAAGAGCGTCCACCGGCTTTAAATTGATTTTCTCATCGAGACGACAAAGATCCAGTAAAGCCATTACTATTTTTAATACTTAATAACTTTTGTTTGCAACTCGGTAAAACGATGACAAGCTAAAACGAAAATTATTCGACAATTTTGACTGTCATACTGTCAAGAATTGATGTTTCTTCTTAATGTTAATTTTATGGCTGTGGGTTCTAGTATGTAAAGTTTCATTGACAACAATTTTGTCTATGCTTATATTTTTTTCATTGAATACGAAATGGCAATCATTATTCGAGAATAATGCTAATAATTATTTATATTGGAAACATAGTGGACACAATAAATATACAAGAATAATTAAAACATATATTTTGGTTGAATTTATCAGAAATGAAATGGTGCCATCTGTCAGCACATACAGATTTTCCTTAAGTGTATGATACATGTACTAGATCTATTCAACGCTAGATGGCAGTAGTAGTCAAAAAAGTATTATTTCTATTATACTTTTTCTATACAATCATTATGACAATATTACTTGCACTAAAGACAAAAGGTCGGCGATCACAATAATAAAAAGTTTATTACCCTTTAGCTAGCATTATAGAAGAAATTTAATACTTACACTGATCAGCAAATATGGTATACACAGTACCAGAACGAAAGTCCATGTGCTAGTCTTGCAAAACCCTATCATATTCCACAAATTTATTAACGAAGATAGACTCCGAACATTATTTTATTCGATTACTAGTTACTCGCCCCGGCTTCGCACGGGTGTACGTGTTTTATATATATAAACCTTCCTCTAGAATCACTCTATCTATTAAAAAACCGCTTTATAATCCGTCGTGTAGTTTTAAAGATTTGAACATACATAGGGACAGATAGGGTCAGCGACTTTGTTTTATACTATGTAGTGATGATATATTTTAACTCTTACATTTTGTATTGATTTATATTTTTATAATGCATGCTTAGTGCACCCTCCTACGCTAACGGCCGACATTGGCGACAGCATCACAGGATGAGCATGAAGTCAATTAGCACATCGTGGTGAGTCACTAGGAATTAATCACATTAACTTCTAGGAGAGACCGCGTGGGGACAACAGTTCATTTCAGGCAAATTCGCCGTAATAATAATAATATAGTAATATATGCTTCAGGACACAGCGTCATCTAGTCCCAATCTAAGTAGAACATGTGTTATGTGACAACTGATAGACAAGTGATATAAATAGATACATTTTTTGTATATATGGATTGGATTTTATAAGATAAAAGATGGCACGTTAGTACGTGCTTTCTCTAGACCTATCTTTACGTTTTTCATCGTATTTCGCCGTTTATTAGATTAATGGCAAGAATAGACAAACTATACACTAAATATTGTTTTATTATCATTCATAAAAACAAAATAGGTAAAAATAAGTTTTACCACAAAATTATTAGTTGTGATTTCGGGAAACCGTTCGAGATCCGAATTATAAAATTCATCGAATGAAATATTTAGTGATGGAGTCGCTAACATATCATTACGATGTGAGTCAGATATTCGATATAATACTTATTGGCCGTATTGGGATACATTGTTTAGACTCTGTCATTATAGATTGCTATCTACAATGATGTAAGTATAGATATCTACCTAGAGTTTGTGTTATAAACACCGTTTAGTGTCTAGTATTTACAAGTGAATCTTTACATACCTATAATAAATGTGTAAAATCATCACGAGGCGAAATCTATTATTGTGATAATGGTTTTCATAAAAATGGTTTTGGGAATAACAATGTACTGTTTCTGAGATTAGCGTGTACAAATCTATACCAATACTAGCTTTTGCCCGCGGTTTCGCTCGCGTTAACTTATCCCCTTAGGGGTGGAATTTATCAAAATCTTTTCTTAGGGGATGCCTGCGTCTAGTACCTTTATGCATGCAAAGTCTCAGCCTGATCGGTTTATAATTGACAAAGTTTCATACAAACTTTCATCCCTATTTTATCCCTTTGGGGGTAGAATTAACCAAAATTATTTCTTAGGGGATGCCTGCATTATAACATCTACCTGCATGCCAAATTTCAGCCCGATCCATCCAGTGGTTTGGGCTGTGCGTTGATAGATCACTACGTCAGTCCTAGTACCTTTATGTTATATATATTTAGATTATTATGAGAACGGATTTTGATGTGAGGAAGGTAAACTCTGTAATCTCTTATTACTGTTATAATTTGCTATAAGTACCTACTGTTGATAATTCGGAATATAGATATTATATTATACTCTCTTCACAGTTCCATTATGATGTTTTTAATTAGGGGACTATCAGGATGCTTGATTATATTAATAATCCTATGAATTTTCTTATTAATCCTTTATTCTTATTAAACAGTACATTAGCACAACTTAGCATAGTTCATTGACCGGAAGAAACTATGAACATACCTATGTTAGAATCATTATTGTAGAAAAAATCCGATATTATAAAAATATATTAAAAGAAGGTAGTTTGTTTTTAGTACTAATGAAGTACCCAATGTAAAGATTATTACGAATATTGTAAATAGGGCCATCTAGTATTTATAGACGAACCTATAAATACGGAGGTCGGTAGTTGAATAATCTTCTTTCGTTGCGTGAGCCGCGGCATTCAGTCGACGAGCGAAGAGCGTGCCGGTTGTGTTTTGGATACTAAAGTGAATTGTATTAGGAATGGGTTCATCCCGGTGTTGGTTGGGCCTGGGGTGAAGCTGCAAGTAGTGAAGGTGAGTGTTAATGCATTCTAAAAGAGCTCTTTAAACCTACATCCGTGTCTCAAGTCACGGGCGCTACTTGGGGTTTCCCTTGCGGTAGCCGGCTTCAAAGCCTCAGTCGTCCATCATAATTAGTGCTTCTAACACCTATAACTATAGAAGAACCTTTTAAGCAGAATATAATCAGAGTATAATCTATGTGTACCATTTTATTTCAACAGACGTAACATGTTATTCTTATCTTTTAAACTTATAGTACTGTGACAGTTCACAAAATGTTTTAACGATCTTATAAGAATAAAGTAATAAGCATATAAACGTACCATCTAAATTGTAAAACAAAACTAACATATCAAAGGCATCACCCGTATACCTCACACGCACCAGTCGGCATCATCACATCAAACAAATTAAAAAATCGTGATTCCACACACAAGGAAAGTCACGACTTCGAAGTCAAAGTACTAAAATGCATATTAACAACTGCTAACCTAGTCCCAAGTAAATGATAGCCCAAAATCTCATAATTGCAACTTAAATCCGCCGCAAGTCACACCGAACTGTAAAGGATGATCCGAAAGTTACGAATAAGCAATGTGCATAACATTGTGTTTACTTCAAATGGAGCTTCTATTATTTATGTATATTGTTTGTTCAAATTCAAATTCAAAAATCATTTATTCATAGGACATTTCAGCCGCTTATGAACGTTCCAGTTCGGTATATAGATACAATTGAGAAGAACTGGCAAGAAACTCAATTAAATTACTTTTTTTTAAATCCAGTTGATTTACAATGCATAGGTATTTATATAGGTGTCTATGTCTAACATTAAATGAAAATCCCTAACATGAAAATGTCATTCAAGTAATCGTTTAGTGAGTAATCGCAGCACAAACTATTGTCACAATAGATCTATACAAGAAGGCGATTCGGTCTCGAATCTAGGCTTGTTATTTTTCTGTAATTGTTAGATACTGATTTATCAAAAGAAAATATATTTTTTGAAAATAAAAGTGCTATAAAACAATTAGTGTGTTCTGTATGTGTTATATTAATTCTATAAAATGTTGCTGCAAATTATCTGGATTAAATCTACTATGATCAATGTACCCTGCTTATTATCTTTGAGCTGGTCGCTGTCCCGCTTCTAACAAAGTAGGTATCTAACAAATGGAAACAGTAACAAACCCTTCCATTCTATGATTGGCTGTTATATTATTGCAAGTTGTGAAATCTTAGATCAACTTTATATAAACCAGGGGCCGTATATAACTCTTATTCCCATTCAGTTTACGGCTTAAACTGAACTGCCTGGAAACTGTCATAATACGTTATCGGTGTGTTGTTTACACACCAAATCACATGTTGAGCGGAGCACATTTATTTTTAAAAACTCGACATTGACAGACAGATTGGATTTTTTTAATGGTAAACGATGGAGGTTCTTTGCTTTGATATTTTGATCTCGGTCAAGCCGTTTCGGAGGAGTATCGTTACAAAGAGTGCAAATCTGATCTGTAAGATCGCTCCGCGCTTCACGCTCCTCTCAAAAAAGATTCAAAGAAATTACGAGTCGGTGTAACAGCATGTCTAATGCAACTTATTGGCGCATTATTAAGAAAAAAAGATTTGCAGTTTATCAGAGAGCTTAGGGCAGTCGGAATTAGAGCTGGTTCCCATAGGAATCGACAGTGGTATGGTAGTGAACCATTTTGTCACGCGATTGGTTTTCTGGTATCCATGTGATGTGACCATGTTTTAGGGTAAAGTTTTTGTCTATAAGATGTGTTTAGTGTATCTTAGCTGGCTCTTTCGCGTTTATTATTTACAATTAGATTAATTTAATCTAATTGTAATAGTGCAACCTAATCGAAATTGAGTAAATGCTTAAGTAAATAAGTTTATAATTATTCGTGTTAAGATCCGATGTAATAAGTTCATTAAAAATTAACCACAATGTTTTCCAGGGAAAACTGCGTAGAGGTCGATCAGCATACATTGTTAACAACGGGGTCACTATTAGCCCATTACTAACATTTCCCTTCTCCCCTACATGCGACGGACCACTTACCACAAGGTGAGGCGTCAGTTTATTTACTATTTTTGTTTTATAAAGAACTAGCTGCGCTCATGGTATATAAATTTCAATATAAAATATACACTATATAGCATGAAATTTATAGCATATGTAATAATAAAACTACTGAACGGATTTTGATGAATCTTTACAGTAATATAGCTTACGCATCAGAATAATCAGTAGTTTTTGCAAAGAGTAACAAACATCCATACGCACAAACTTTCGCGTTTATATTATTAGTAGCTTTTACCCGCGGTTTCGTTCGCATTGAATACATTAAATAAGTATTGGCGATCATTACAATAGAAATTAATCAATATAACATCATTACTGATTG